GCAGGGGACAATCCAGGCTTTTGTGTCCTGTGTCTTCCCTTGTCTTTCCGTCCAGGTTACAAACATCACTCAAAACCTATAACTAACACCACGCCTCTTAATGACCCCTGGTCCCTCACTGGCACCATACGTTTTGGGGTAAGCCTTCAGCCAACCCATGCCTTGAAATGATTTTGTTAGGAAAACCTGGTCAGAAAGTTTTAGAAACAGCATGTGTTTCCTTTACTTAGAGAAAAGCATTCTGATTCTATGTTTCAGAGAGATCTTTAGACTCATCCTCCCACCACCTTGTCACATGAGATCCAGCCAGTCATATATCTGATGAGCAAACAATAGATGCTCCTTTAGCACTGTTCTGCTTGAATTAGTGGTATTTACCCGGCAAACAGTACTGCATCGGCCAAGCAGTAAGCAGTGTATTTAATTCATAAGCTGTACAGTAAAAATAGATACATTGGAATTATACACGGGAAACCCTGAAGTCTGTAGTTTACTTAATGGTATTCTAGCCTTATCAATGTCCTGGTACTGCTCACGTACTGTGGTTATGTGCGACATTAGCGCTGGAGAAGGCTGGGCAAAGACGAAACGGGAACAGTCTGTACTATTTTTGCAAATTCCTGTGAGTCTTAAATTATTTCAAAATAAAAATAAGTTTTTGTTTTTTTTTTAAAGCAAGATGGAATCAAAGACATCCTCTGGTCCAGTTGTTTTTGAACTTGTATTTTAGCAGTGACCTCTTCTTCTGCTCTTGTCTTCTCTCGTCTTCAGCTGCCTGCAGGCACCTCCTGACCTGTAGAGCTCCTTGAAATACCACTTTAAAGATGCTGGTCAATCGAACCCCTTCAGGCTCCACATGAGAAGTCAAATGCACTGCTATTTGGTGGTTGGTGACAGGAATGGAGCCTGGGGACTGTCTTCCCACAGCTGTGCTCTCAGGCCACAAGTCCCAGCTTCTTACCTTGCACTGTGATTTCTTTTCTCAGATGGGATAAGACAAAAATAGACTGGGAAAGTGTTTCCACATTCCTGCCTTCCATCCCTGTGGTGAGGGGCATGGACTTCCACATGGTGGAGACAGTGCCCAGGAAGGCAGGATGGGCAGGCAGTTTCACAACATACCACTTGGTGTAGGTGTTTGCCTGGCAAGGTCAGTCTCAGGGAGAGGGACAGAGCTGGGGGCCACAGAGAAAGGTCCCTGCTGCCTTGCCTACTTGGCCTCTCGTCCCACCAGCTTGAGGACTGAAACTACTAATCCTCCTCTTCCTTTTCTTTCAGACCCACGTCATTGGCATATTCTTGGGAAACCTTGCATACCCGAAGTTTACTTGCAAGGATGATGTAATTGCAATAATCTCCTATTTGCCTAGGGATTTTCAGGTTGCAAGGAACTTCTTCATTTGTTTCCCAGGCTCAGCTCACCACCGAGTTACAACTTAGGCAGAATAGTTTTATCTCTGCTTTACAAATAAGTGCCATGACTTTCCCAAGTCATTGTTTGTGTCAACTCAGAGCATGGGAATTCAGAAACCTGATGAATGTTCTTTCTACTAAAAAGCTCTTGGTTAGTGTAAATCACCCACCCCCAAATTATCAACAAACAGGTGGTGATGTCATCACCAATTACCACCATCATCATCCTCATCACCATCATCAAGTTATCATAGGCACGATCCTTAGTCACTGACGTGATTTGGGGCTGTGAGAATCCCAAGACTTGGTTGTTCTCCAACCTTGTACAGGAGGAGGAAGCAATGGTTTCCTCTCTTCCTACACCTAAAAATGGTTCGAGCTGAAAATACCATATGGGCACTGGATGAGTAAGACTTAGGTTTTCCTGAAAAGTGAAGCAAGTTGCCCATGCACCATGTCATTCAAGACATATGTGACAACCGACCAGCAGGACCACTGCCCCAGAGCTGCCTGGTTCACCCCAGCTTTGTAGAGCTGCATGTGGCAGACATTGGGTATTTACTTAGTGCTGTTTGTTGGTGCCATGCTTCTGCAGGGGAAGCTGGCTGACTCCTCTCCTCCAGCATCCTATCTGCCCTTCATGTGTTAGGACACCACCTTCCCTCTTGACATGGAAGCTTTCCATTGTTGCTGAGCCTGGCCTGGTCCCTGCACATTCTGCCTTAACATCCTGGGATATTGGGGCTTGGTGAGCTGCTTTGATGGTGGGAGGCTGAGCCCACACCAGACCATGTTCACAGCTGCTACTTCAAGGAAAGTGATCTCTCAAGGAGTGTGCTGATGTTTCACACCCTGAGGGAAATCCAGAGAGTAACTGAGTGACCTGCCTCAAAAATACTCCTTTACACATCGATGCACCAAGCACCAATTTAGTCACCTACTAAATAAAGAACCTTCTAAAACAGTGATTCCCATCACTCAGTGTGCTGCCATTATTAGGGGCATCTGCAGAATTTGTTGAAATATAGGTTTTGAGCCTCACCCTTGGACTTTGTGCTTCAGCTGGCATTGAGAAGGGCTAACTAATTCCCTCTCTAATACAGTCAGATGGTGTCAGTGCTGTGCAGGGATCAGCCTGCAAAAATCACCACCCCAAACAAGCAGTAGCTGCCAAACTTTTTCTGTAAGGAGTAGATAGTAACTCTTTCAGGATTTGAGGGCCATGCAACCTCTCTCCAACTCTGCTGTTGTAGCCAGAGGAAGTAGGAAAATGAATGAGCAAGGCTATGTTCCAATAAAACTTTATTTACACACTAGGTAGTAGACTTGTTTTTAAAAAAGTGCCACAAATATAAAAATAAAATAGGAGCCACAACTTCATTCTAGGTGGATTTCTGAAAGCTCTTGGGTGGGAATCATAGTTAAGGACACAGGTGCTGGTTACAGATCATCTCTGATACCAATAACTTGAGCCGACAGTCACTAGCTTCTCTGTAGAATGAGGATAAAAATGATCATGAGTTGGTGGAAACATAAATTGGTGTAACTTCTGTAGAAAGTGGTGTGGACATTCCTTAAAAGTCTAAAAATGGAAATAGCATATGATCCAGCAATACCACTTCTAGGTATTTTTCTGAAAAATGCAAAAACTACTTCAAAGAGATGCATGCCCTCCTGTATTCATAACTTTATTCACCCTAGCCAAGACAGTCAACCCACTGACAGAAGCTAGATAAAGAAATGTTGGTATTTGTACTAAGTGGAATACTACTCAGCTATGAGATGGAATCTTGCCTTTGTGACAAGATGCACAGAACTCAAGGTGACTACACTAGTCAGAAAGGGAAAGACAATTATTGGATGTTTTCTCTCATATGTGAAATATTAACCCAAACAAACTAAGAAATCATAACACAAATAACTCTCAGACTCTGGAAAATAAGGTGATTAGAAGGGCGGGAAGGTAGAGGACATAGACCTCAGGGTGGGAAGGGCCACTAGAACTTTGGTGATGGGTGAGGTGAGGCTTATCGCACACAGGGAGGTGAAGATATACCCCCCAGATTTGTATGCTTTGTAAATCAGTGGTAAATAAATACAACTTTATTAAATAAAAAACAATTATATCATGACATTGGACTCACTGCTAGCACTAGCACGTCTTGGTGGTACTTATGTGAATGGATGAGTCTTCACTTTACTCTTCTTCATACTATTCCATATGATTGAAACATTCCAGAATCTTAAAATGCATGTCTTTAGAAAGGAACCATAATTCATTGCTGTTTATGTACATGGATTACATTTTATGTTTCCAAAGTCGACCGGAAGTTGAATTATATAGTCAAAATCAACATTTGGAGTGCCCCCGACACCATCAGCACCTAGATGGTGCTCTTAGAAAGTCAAAACCTAGAATATCTTTGCATTTGAGAAACACTAAACTGCAGAACTTCTCAGGTTTAACATCTGAAATGGAGCTCTTGGTCACCAAGCCCTGCTCCTCTGTCATCTCCCTGAATTAGGAAGATGTAGCTGAATTAGTTACAGCCGACAGACCACAGAACCTGATTCAGGAGGTGGGATTTAACAAGGAAGGGTCCTGTTTCATAGTATAAGGAGGACATAAAGACCTCTTCGTCCACCCCTTTGTGTTTACATATTAACAGAGGTCCAAGAAACAGAGGCATTTCCTGGCATTTGAAGCACTTTGCTAAGCTTGACTTTTGTCCCCCTAACAACCACATGAGATGGATGCTGTTGATTTCTCAGTGTATAGAGGAGACAAGCACACGTGATTTGTCCAAGGTCATGTTTCTGGAAGTAGCAGAACTGGGATTGAACTCAGGCCGTCTGACTCCAGAATCCATGTTCTATAATCACTGTGGTCTGCTGGACATAATCATTACTTCCTATCTATACTCTATCTGTGAATTGAAGAGAAGCTATCTAGTACCTTCGTTAATTTCTATGGTGTGCTAGAGAAGGTAATGGAATTGCAGCAGGGGGCTGCTCGAAGTTTATTTTCAGTGCATTTCAATTTCCATCTGATTATACTGGAGTTTCCCTGTGCAAACGCATGCTAATGCTTTGGAAATAATGCAGAGTTGGGAAGTTGTCCTTGTCAGCTTGGGTACCTGTTTGGTCTTACTGTGCATGGTCTTTCTGGAAACCTTGACCAAATGAAGATGAGCTAAACTCCCTTGAGTAGATCCAGGGTCATTCAGCTTGGGTCAGATGTACTCCCTGAATTTGTGCATATTCTGTGCTGCCACCTGGACTGGCCACGGGGGACCCCAGGTGTCAACATTGAGCTTACCCTTGAGGGCTTTGGTGTCTGTGGATCCAAACGTGGTTGCCTTGGGGACAGACCTGGTACATGCAAGTTATGCCCCTGAAGAGGTGTTAACACAGCCCAGAGTGGGCAGCCTGTTAAAACGTGAAGTCATCGCATTACCAGGCATGCACCAATGCCTGACCTCAGAGAACAGCGCATAGCAAGCCATCACACGGGGCATAAGAAGGTGTAGTCCCCGGATGTGCTCCTTTCATGAGTGGCATGAACAATGTGCTTCTTCTCTCCCCAGGACCCCAGGAGCAAGCACAAGTTTAAGATCCACACCTATGGAAGCCCCACCTTCTGTGATCACTGCGGGTCACTGCTGTACGGGCTCATCCACCAAGGGATGAAGTGTGACAGTAAGTAAGCTTGCTTTTCCGGTAGATGCCAAGGTTCTGCGGCTTCTGTCTGGGGATGACAGAGCCCTTCAGGTTCAGTAACCTCTTCAACACCCTCTCAGCCATAGAGAGAATTGGTCCTGATGTATAACAGACTGAAGAAGTGTAGAATCCACTGTTGAAGTCTTGGTTTATGAAAAGACTTAATTGCCTCATTATGTACCCAAAAAAGCACCCAATTTATAAATGAAATTGGCGCTGTCACTTTTTTTTTGTGGTAGAGATATTCAATCACTGTAAAATGCAGGCTAGTCAAACCCCTAAGCAAATGCCATGTGTTCAAAGAAGCCTCTCCACCTCCAGATTCCACATTTGGGGAGGCTTCAAAATAAGCTACGCAAGCATAGTCATTATCAACCCATGTCTCTAATTAGTGGGTGGACTGTGGAAAAATCCAGCAGGCTCTCCCTAAAACTGAAACCACAATGAAAATAAAAACCAGCATGGCATCTCATGGAAGTTCACTCATCTTGCACATTCACAGACAGATCAGTTTCCCAGAGATGAAACTACTGCAGCCCCCCCGCCCCCCACCCCTGACAACTTCAGCTCTTTTCCATGCTCCTTTTTTGTTCTGCACCCCTCCATCCAACACCCAGAGGAAGAAAACCAGCTATGGAAACTCCTTGCTTTATCATCCTTGTAAGATTTCTCCTTTTATTGGTTTCTCTAAATGATAATTTCCATGTTAGGATATGCAAAGGTCATCACCTGAACCTTGTTTTTCTAGTAGACAGGGAAGTGTGATGGAAGCACCCAGCCTGCTGCTGTTCAGCCGTAGCTTCTTTTATGGCCAAAAACCTTCCTGTGTGTATCCTATGGAGTAAAGATCATATATGAAGGTCAGAATACATGCCCTTTGTAGACAAAATGGATTGTTTCTCAGAACACAAGGGTTCTTCTAGCCTAAGCAGCATCTTAACCTTAGAACTGAGTAACCTAATGAAACCTCTGATCATCCAAGAGGTCCTGCAAGTGCAGCTTCTAAGTGCATGTGTAAATGTGCTTTTTTTTTTTTATCATGACATTATTTTTAATAGTTGTAAGAATAATAGGTTTTATAAAAAATACAACATTCATAAAAATGGCAACTTACAGAAACATAGCTAGCATTAATATAATCTGACCCTAGGATAACAGCATCAGCTATCAGCTTCACTCTGTTATTGTTATCTAGAAGAAAATATAAGAAATCAATGCTGACCATCATTTTAAATTGCATGCTACTTTTTTCAAAAAAAGATTTATTTATTTATGCATACAAGAGCTGGGGTACAGGCCAGAGGTGTTGGGGGTGAGAGTATTCACCAGAGACAGAGTGGGGAGCAGAACAGGCAGATTGACCAAAGTACACTGCTGAGAGAGCAGCGGACAAGACAGGAGAGGTCTGCTGCTCCATGTGGGTAGCTTCCTGGACAGTTGGGGATCGAACTCATGCTGCAGAAGCTGTGGATTGCTTCATACTGCTGTACTTAACCCATTGTGCCAACAGGAAGGCCCTGCATGCTACTTATTTACTATAAAAGTCTAAAAAAGCAGTTACTAGAGAAGGCATTTAAAATAGCCAAAAACAAACAAAGTTTCACTTATATATAAGGAAATTAAAATAATTGTCACAAGTCATCAGTTTTTATCTCTCAAAATATCATAAGGGCCTCCCTGGTGGCGCAAGGGGTTAAGATGCAACCTATGAAGCTATCCGCAGCCACTGTAGCACGAGTTCGATCCCTGGCCAGGGAGCTACCCACATGGTGCAGCAGACCTCTCCTGACTCACCCGCTGCTCCCCTCAGCAGTGTATTTTAGTCAATCTGCCTGTTCTGCTCCCCACTTTGTCTCTAGTGAATCCTCTCACCCCCCACACCCCTGGCCTGTACCCCAGTTCTTGTATGCATAAATAAATACATCTTTAAAAAATATATCATAAATTAAAATGTTTAATAAATGTGCTTTTAACTGCTTTACAACTTGGAACAAAAGTATTCAAGTGTGTTAACACCTTCCACCTGGAGAAGCTGGAGAGGAGTGTGGTGACTTGGTAGAGCCATCTTTGTTCTCGGGGCAGGCTCTGCCCTCGGGCTCTCCCAGCACCCTTACTTAGTGCGGCTGCCGGCCATGGAGCCGGTGCCTGCTCTTCTGTGGAGTCAGGGACTTGGGCGGTGACGCTATGTTAACAAAATACAGAAGTAAATGAGATATTGAGGCTGAATGGAGACCTTAGTATCCCTAACAGCAGGATTTAAAATTTTGTTTGGATCTGAGGGCCCTCCTGGTTAGCCATGAATGTCTTTATAATAACCAAATGGTATAAATTTGAATGTATTAGCTAAGTTTATACTAATAAAATAACCCCCATCTGGTTTGGATATTAAGATTTCATTTGAAAAATGGGCTCCATTATTAAAGAATTGTGAAAAACACTGACCTGGACCAGGGCATTTTGTTTTGTTTTATTTAAAATTTTTTGAGGTGAAGCTTCTGGGGTGACTGTTTGGGCTCCTTCCTGGAAGGAGCAGGAAAATGAACAGGGGGACACCAAACACCACCCCTTCCTTGACATCTGCAGAAAGGAAACCTCTTTCTCTACCCTTACAGGAATCATATATAATATTTAATATTTATATTTTTAATATAAGAATTATAATAAACCTTATAGGGTTATGAAATAACCTTATATGGTTATAATACTGTGTACAGTCGTGATTGGTGGAAAAACAACTTAGCAGTCACTTGACTAGGTCAACCTCTTAGTTTGTAGAATAGGAGAAGGAGTCAGAGACCTCGAATGAGCTTCCCAAGGTCAAAGGGCCACCTCAGAGCCAGCAAGTCAAGACGACAGCCAAGCCCACCTTCTCCTCGGTCCCTGTCACCCACACCCTTTGCAGCACCTGTGACATTTCTTTCCCTTAAGTTGCAAATTCTTCCCAGACACCAAAAGATAGGATTTGATGCAACCAAGTCATGTCAGTAGCGCTCTTTCAAGAGTCTGTCGGCTGGATCAAGGTACCTGAGTGTTTGTACAGCCAGCATTGCAAACAGAAACCCCAGCAGAATACACATTTGTGAATCAACTAGTTGCTCTTTGCCCGTGCCCGTCCCCCAGCCTTCAGTGTTGAACCAGAGCAGGCAACGTTAGACCTGGTGCCTTTTGCGGTTGACTTCATGTGAAACTCCCAAATGATTCGAGCTTCACTGAAAGATCACACCCAACCTTGTGTCCATCCAGCAAGGGTTGGCGAGGACCCTGGTAGCCACTGTCCCCCTGGGGCCCTGCGGCCACAATGACCGAGAGCTGGGACTCCTCCACAGAGGTTCCCCTTTGTATTTGGGGCACAGGATTGTAGGGTTTCTCTGACTCCCCTCAATACAACTGATCTCTTGTTACCCTCTCCCCGCCTCCCCCACATCACGTCAGCTGGTGAGGAATGGATTATCCTGCCAGCCTTGTATTTGTTGTACTTGCAATAATATTTAAATATTTGAAGACGGGTTTAAAATATCAAACACAAGTTTTAAAACAAAACAAAACAAAAGCCATGTACTTAAGCCTTCTTGAAAATACAGTTAGCAAGGGAAAGGAAAATCTCATGAATTTCCTATATTCAACCCACAGATTCTCAGTCTGAGGGTTGAGCTCAGAAAGGCGATAAGAAATTCCTTGGCAAAAAGTACCCTGTGTTTAATGTGGGCCCGTTTGCCCCCAGGGACATAAAACGTTCACCCATCCGTGCTCGGTGTGCATGTACCTGTGTGGATTTTGTGTACCGTTAAATCGCAGCGTTCGCAGAAGACCATGCCAGGGGTATCTGGCTTCATTTACGACTGTACAAATATGGTGCGGGTATTTTAAGGCTATTGCCACTCACAGGAAGCCTGTGCTGGAAGGGACATCTGCTAACAGTTCTTTATGTCACCAAAAATATTATAACGAAGTATCGAGTTGGAGGGTGGCTCGTTTGCACTTCTCTTCCTGCACCAAAACACTGAGGGAGGTGGCAGCTCGGGCCCATATGCCCACCTCACCCCTGGCTCTCCCTTCGCAGCCTGTGACATGAATGTGCACAAACAGTGTGTGATCAACGTGCCCAGCCTCTGTGGCATGGACCACACCGAGAAGAGGGGCCGAATCTACCTGAAGGCCGAGGTCACTGAGGAAAAGCTCCACGTCACAGGTAAGCTCACTCGTGGAGGTGGGAGGCTCGCGACTTCTCGGCCAGCATGGACACAGGGTTTGTCGGGTCTCCGAGATGGGGACCACTGCTTCCCATTAGCATCTTTCCCAGGAGACAGGTCTGTGCGTTGAATTCCCAGATATTCGAGTGTCAACCCACGTCATGACCCCTGAGCGGGTCATGACCCCCCTGCACTGCTGGGGGTCCCACCCTGGGTGACCAGGACAGCGAAGCCAGTTAATTGAAATGCTGTTGCTAAGAGAGGAACAGGGGCCAGTGGAGGTGGAGAGCTGATCCAGGTGTCCCGTGGCGCCAGGCCCCAAGTGCTCACCCTTCCTCTGTGAGGCCCAGTGCTCAGTACTTCACATACTGATTTATTGAGTCCTCACAGTCACTCAGTTATCAGCCTCAATCCAGAAGAGGAAACTGAGGCACAGAGCTATTAGGAAGCTTGCAGTGTCTCAGAGTAAGCGGGGAGCAAGGGTTGGAACCAAGCCATTTTGACTCCAGGCCTGGAGCTTCTGACCTAGGATCTGCAACCCCACTGCCTGGTGTAGAGCTCCCTGCCCTGCGCCCACATGCCCTCCTTGGGGCTCTGTCTGGCTCCCACAAATGTACCTTAGGAACACGAGAATCCCTGTCAAGTTGTTCTGGCAGCCACTGCCCCAGGACCGGCCTGTGCCCCTGGGACCTGCATCCCCAAACACCCGTGTGGCTTGTCCCCTCCCTTACAACTCACGCTCTACCTCCTCCTCGCTCTCCTTTGACAAGGGAGTTCGTTTTCATGTGAGCAGCCAAGGTATTGTTTGCATCTGTGCTGAGGAATGTTAAGCAGTCAGAAAACTAGGAGACTGACCTTAGTGTTATTTTTCTGTGACTATAGAAGGTGTAGCCAAAAGACTGGAAGGATCTGTTTAAGAGGAAAGGCAGGGAATGCTTACTTTTCAAAACATCCTTGCATTTTTTTTCTTTGAAAAAATTGGCAAGTTTTTTACTCAGAACTGTCCTCCCAGGTAAGAGCTAGGACCCATCGAAGGATTTTGAGATGTTTCGAGGAGTCAACATATCTGACCTCCCACTAACCCTATGAAACCAGCCAGATGTGGCTCATGGTCAAGATCAAGTTGTGGGTAAAATCACTCTGGTGGACAAACTCCCCTTCGACTTTTTGCACTTTGGAGAAGTTCTTTCATGCCCTCACCACCACACCTCCTGCACCTTTTCCTTAGGGACCATGACCCTCGCCCGCCCTTCCTTCCATTATATGGCGGCTGCCTGTCTCTCTCTGGCTGACAGCCATGAACTTGGCCATGTGCCGGTCACATGTGGCATCCTCGCCTTTGTTTCTCTTTTCTGCAAGCCTCCTCCATTGTCAAAGTCGTGTCTGGGGGCAGGAAGCATGCTGTTTAGGAAAAAGTTAGCATGCACGCAGCCTCAGTGGGTTGCGAGGACAGAGAAGAATGAAGTAGAATGGCTACGAGCTAAACAGCCTCATCTCTCCCCTTAGCTTTAGTAGCAAAAGCTACTGCTGTTGCCATTATATTAGCTACAGCAGGTGAACAGTCCAAGCCTGATTGTGGGCCTTGCAGCTCACCGTAAGGAAAGAAAGCCCAGGCTGAGATTTTCAAAGTCCAGCTGTTAGGCTTTGTGCTTCGAACACAGCACGGCACACCTGCCCGTGCTGGTCCTGCCTTCTCTGTAATAAAAGCAGCAACGCATGGTGCTGCCTGGGCTTGCCAGCCTCTCCTGGGATGCCCCAGGTCTGGCAGATGTGAACTGCACACACAGAGGGCCACAGCGGGTGACACCAGGGACACAGGTAGGACAGAAAGGATGATGGGCCCCTTTGTGTGGGGATGGCAAGCTGTGTCCTCTCAGGGCCCATAGGCCAGGTGCCTCATCACTGTGCACAGCTCACCTTGATTCACAATTGTGGGCTCACATCAGGGAAAACACCCTTCTCCGGGTTGGACACAAGCTTTGCATGTGTGAAAGGCAGCCGGCATCACTTACAGCCACAATCTAGGTCCAGTCCCTTCGAATCCATCTCATGCTTATTGAACAGACAGAGCGCTGGCCTAAGCATAGGAGTTCAGTGGTCATTTAATAATACAATGATCGCAGCAGCAGCTAAAGGTTACTGAGCTTGCCATGGGGATGGGGGTGCTCAGGTTGCTAAGGGGAAGGGTGGAGGCAGCGGGAAGAGCCCCAGTAGAGGCTTCCCAGGATGTGGGAAGCAGCCTGGCTCCAGGAGGACACCGCTATCCAAGGTGACCCCTGCCAGCAGCACACAGGGGCCAAGGCAGGTGATTTCTTGGAAAATGCAATCCAGACCTGAGCTGGTAGTTACCTGTGCAGAATGGCTCAGACTGAAAATAATTCCCAAAGTCCAATAGACACTCCCACAGACTCCTGCTTTGGGGTGGAAATCACCTTTTGAAACCAGAGACCATCCTGCTTTCTCAGCGGATGCAGCTGCATGGAAAGGCCTCTGTTTTCATGGTGCGTTTTCATTTTCTAGCCTGTGGACAGCGATGCTGATGTTAGCAGCACGTCATTTTTTTTTTCCTCTCAATATGTGTTCTTAATAGGTTTTCTACATTCCTGTGCTTTTTTTAATTTGATTTGGAGAAGTGGTTAAAAAAAAATTCCCTCGGAACAAATTTTCAATTTAATGTTGTAAGTAAGTGGAAAAAATACCGTGTGCTTTACAGCGGTTCCACAAGCACCTCTCTCGCACAAGCAGAGGATTCTGCAGGAGAGTCTAATTTTCTCAACCACTTGGGGCTGTTAATTTGGTGTGGAGCTGGAAGCTCTGAAAGGGTCCCCTGGGGTAGGGGGAGGGAGCGCCTCCTGCGGGGCCGGGCTTGGGATGCTCAGTACCTCCTCTGTTTGCCTCTAGGGCTGCGTGGGATTCGGGGGTGCCCTGTCTCACCAGCTCAGCTTTGAGACTTGCCCTCATGTTGTGGCTGAAACAATAATATTCCTTCCATCTGTCCTTCCATCTTATAACATAACAGTGTATTTGCTAGCGTCAAAAGAGGGAGACTCCGCTTTGTATCATGATCATTCTTTCATCCTTCTGATCATTTAATCATACTTTTATATTTTTCTCTGCTGCTCCTTGATACACTAAGGTGATGAAGACCTGGGCCTTACTGTGGGGTGTGTGGCCCCGGGGGACATGAAAAGGCATGGCAGGGTGGTAAGCAGGTGGCTGTCCACCTGCCAGGGCCTGGAGAGTCTCACCTGCCAGGGGAAGCTTACCTTGGAAGTGACAGTGGGGGGCAGGGAGAGTTTCAGGAAGGACACACGGTGAATCCAGGAAACCCATGAGGTTCAGGATTCTGGGAATTTTGAGTTCATGGCAGGAGTGCTGCAGGGAAATTTTTTCCATTTTCAGGAGATTAGGGCTGCAATGATCCATTGACTGAAGGCACAGCCTTAGAAGCCAGAGTGTCAGTGCCGAGTGAAAAACTTCACTTTCAAACTGGGGGATTTTAAGTTGCAGGTGGCTGTTTCCAACAAGGACAGAGCATCAGCGTCCTGACCAGAGCGCCCCATGTCACTCCCAGGGTCATAGCAAACCTCCCCTTGGTGCTGGGAACAGAGCTGAGTTAGGGGTGCTTTTCCCAATGGCAGACTGGCCTGTGGATCAGACAAGGCAGTCTGGAGCCCTCGGCAAGAGGGAGTGGGATCCGCTACTTGCTGAAAGGAAAAGGTATAAGCTGGAGGTGATTTCTGTGCAATGTTGAGTGTGGCTTGGATCCAGCTCAGGAGCCCAGGAGTGTGTCAGCTGATGAAACCGGCCCTTTGGGTTTGGATGGAGAGAGGGCGTCAGGGAGAAACATGCCCGCAAGTGTATTCAGGCGGCCCGTGGTCAGCGATGCCACGTTCCCGTCACCTGGTGAAGGTATTTCCATCAGACCCCTTCCCCGCGAAGGCTCCCTCCCTGTTTGTGATTCTGAGGAGCCTGTACTTGGAAACTGGTCAACATTTCACCCCCCAGTTTCAGTCTTCGTGGTGAGCCCTAATCCGTGACTCAGTGATGGCGCAAAATGGTGATTTTCTAATTCTGTCATTTCTCTAAGTTCTTTAGCTGGCATTCACCTGAAAGAAAGCCTTTCCCTTTCTCTCCCTCTCCATTTTTTAAAGTAGCAATTTGCACTTATGGTTCGTTCTTTTTTTTTTTTTTTTTTTTACTGTCTTTTTTTAAAGTTCAGGTTGTTCAATGTGTCCAGTTGGAGCCAATTGAACTGGCCCTGACCCACCCACCCACAGACTCACCTTCCTCTCCTCCTGTCTATGAGGAGCCCTGGGGATATTTTTTAGTGGGAAATAAGGATAATAATCCTAGGTGGGGTTCTGGGGGAGCTCAGTGCTCCTGGGTATTACTTGCGTCGAAGCTTTCAATGACACAGGTGGGAATTTATTTATTTATTTTTTTATCTTGTCACTCATTTACATGTCTCAGCGATTTTACTCTGATCCTGATCCAGGTCCTCTCCCCACTTCCCTGGCTTCACCCTTCCTCCCTTGAGAAGCAGCCCAGCTCCTGGGGACGTCAGTGTGTTCGCTTGTTGGCTATGCCCAATTCCTTGGAGTTTTAGAATTAGTGTGCCCATATCCCTAGGAAGAAGGGAGCCACTGAATACGGCTCAGGATTTTATTGAGGTTTTTAGATACTTAGGTGACATCCCACTAAGGTGAATAATCAAACACTGTCACTTGGACTCTGTGATTTCCTGATATCCATGCCCAGTGACCAGACAGCCTCCCCATCATGCCCCCACTGAAGAGGTTCACCCCCCAGGGGAGGCGAGGATAGCACCCCGTGTCGCCTGTCAAGGGTTCTTGCCAAAACTGCAGAACCTGGATCCCATCATGAGCAGAGAGGAAGCAGACCAGTCCAGCCACCTGCTTGAATACTGGCCAAGACTTTGCAGAAATCTGTGTTGTGTAAAACTAAATAATCAGTGGGACTGCTCTGGACTAAAGAA